ACTGAAACTTCTCTTTGTGGTCATCAGTGATCAGTTAATTGCTAACTAGATGTAGAACAGTGCTTAATTGATGTGCATGAAATCATTTGGGAGACCTTATGAAAATGCAGATTCTGATCCACAGGCCTGAGGAAGAGCCTGGTCCGACATTTCTAAAAGCTCCCAGGAATTGCTGATGTGGCTGTTCCTCAGAGAACAGCAGGAATGGCAAAGATATTAATGATTTCCAATGCTGAAGCTCGGACCTTGACTCATTTCCAAAACTCTAAGATATGTTTAGTTACCTATGGAATATTTTCATTAAATTGATCACTATATTGTGAGCTCATTTTTGAAGTTATGCATAGTGTTCCACTCATCTTCCATCTCACAAAGAACCTAGCATCGTGTTTTACAGAATAGGTCTCAACAAATGTATGAACTAATAAGCAAATGGAATGTCAAGATTAAGTCTTAAATATCATCTCTCCAGTCCATTCAGCCCTTGAACCTCCTCTGCAATATCTCCCATCCAGAGTTTGCAATGTCTCCAGGGATGGTAACAGCAAGGGGTACAAATTCCGCTCTATTATAAACTGTGCGGCCTTTGGCAAGTTACTTGAATGCTTTAAGTTTTGGTTTTCTCGTCTTTAAAATTGGAGTAATAATAGTAATATCTCATAGGGTTGTCAGATTTAATGAAATGACACCATAAAATGTGGCTATGTTACCATAGTGTCTGGCGTGCAGTGAGCACTCAATAAATGGTGCTTACCATGTTCTGCTAGTCTTGATGTTTTTTATATTATTGCCTTACGTTATAATTATTCACAACATACTGTTATAATTATCACTTCAGACAAGCTATTTCATTTTAGATAGCACTAAAATTACTAGGAACTTATTTTGTTGAGCTTAAGCCAGCCAGTAGGAGGTAATAAGGAAAAGAGATTTTTGGAAATGGTTGACCAGTTTGAAAATTATTGCAAAAGTTCAAAGATAATGAGGACCTAACCCGGGTCTTTAAACTCCTTAGGAATAGAGAAGGGACAGGTGCAAGAGGAATCATGCAGGAAAAGTAACTGGCCTTGAGAACTGATTGGACATGAGGGGAGAAGAAACCTGAAAGGTTTGAAAAAGAAGATGGGTCGATTTTAAAGTAGTTATGAAATTCATGGAGGAGTAAGTCATTGGATTTGATCCTAAGGTTTTACTATACTAACAAGTCAGACACCACATTGTAAAGAGGATTACTGGGGTGGTGAACACGATACAATATACAGATGCATTACCAAATTATACACCTGAAACATATATAATTTTATTAACCAATGTCACCCCAATAAATTCAATAAAAAAAATAAACATTTTTAAGCCAAACAAAACAAAAACCAAAGAGGTTTAGGCATTATGAATGGTAAGAAGGTGAGAGAAAGTATATTACTTTCAAGAAATTTGTGTGAAAAGACAGTAGCAGGAGTAAGAAGTAAGCATCAGTTTTACTTTGTTTTGATAGAATAGAAATATTTAAACATCATTTAGACTCAAAGAAAGGTCCTTGAAAGATCAAGAGAATGGTTGGGGAGCAGATTGAATTAGGACATGGAATAAAATTACCAAGTTGCTTAATTTTCAGAAGAAGGGAGAACCCTGGAATCAGAGAGGGACAGGGAGAGAGTGAAAGGGGAGAGAGACACTTACTGAGGAAGGGAGTGAGGACAGAATTTATATCAGTAGTCACAGTCTTGGTGTGGCAGGACACAAGAACAATGATAAAGGGGGTTACAGGAAGTGAACTTTGATGTGAAGAGAGCAAAAAAATGTGTGGAATAAATATTTTAGGAAATCTAGTAGTAGTTAATCACATAGAAATAAAAACATTGCTGGGAGGGATTACCCGGGGAATTTATATGCATACATGCATAGCCCATGGACACAGACAGTAGTGTGGTGAGGGCTTGGGAGAGGTGGGGGTGAGGTAGAGTGGGTCACTGGGAAAAAATAAAAAGAGGGACATCTGTAATAGTTTCAACAATAAAGATAAAAATTTTTTAAAAAGAAAATATTGCTGAAAAGGTATGGAAAGCCTATAGATGGCCTGCCATGTGCACCAAGCCAGGGAGTTTGTGAAAGACTAACTTTATTTTGACATTCTTCCATTTCTCCACTTAGTATAATTCACTGTCAGCTACATCACAAATTTTGTTTTTGGAGTTTCTACCTCTGAGGTTTTACCCTATGTTCTGCCTTTGTATTTTATTAGACTAGAACAGCGGTTCTCAACCTGTGGGTCGCGACCCCTTTGGTGGTTGAACGACCCTTTCACAGGGGTCGCCTAAGACCATCCTGCATATCAGATATTTACATTACGATTCATAACAGTAGCAACATTACAGTTATGAAGTAGCAACGAAAATAATTTTATGGTTGGGTCACAACATGAGGAACTGTATTTAAAGGGCCAGAAGGCTGAGAACCACTGGACTAGAATGTCTGATATGTAACTAGAATAAATTTTTAGTAACAGAAACAATCTCAAAGATCATCTAGTCCAATTTCCTTCTTTTTCAATGGAGAAAAATCTATGCATAAGTGGACAAAGAGACTCTCCCGAGGTCACACTACTAATTTGCAGCAGACAAATATCCAAGCCACTACCTGCCTTCTCCACTAGATTTTGAGGGGCTATGGATTTCTTTAAGCTATAATAACAATTCTTGTCAATATTGAGACTATCGAGGACATCAAAGCACAGAATAATGCCCGCTGAACCAAACACTGCCTTCAACAGTTTTATACTTAGTTGGGGTATGAGATGTGTTCTTAAGATCCAAATTGCTAGAGGAAGGCTTTCCAGAGGTCTTCTCTGATGACATCCACGGGCTGCTACCTGTTTAATAGACTCGTTGCCCCTCCATGCACTGGTGCCTAAATTTAACACGTTAAGTGCCAAGCCTGTTTTGTCTTCCTTTCCCGAAAGTATAGTGTCAGTCACTGGTGACTGACATGGCGCTTAACGTGTCAATCATCCACAGAAAAGATGCAATCAACATTTAATCCTGGGTGTCCTCCAGCAATAATGGGAAGTCTGTGATGTAAATACACAATAAAACAAACGATAAAAAGCCTAAATAATGCTAAAAGGAATTGTGATTCCTTTTACTCTTCTCTTCTGCATCATTTTACCTGTCTTTTACCATCTCCTTTTGCCAAGCATCACAGTACAAAGATAGTCCAATGCAATACAAAAGGTATTAACCTTTTGCCTGGCTCTCTCACTGGTTATCAGACATTAGACACTTCTCAGCCTCTCCTTTCCTTCTATAGTAATTCTTGCTCTGCTCGTTTCAGAGTTTATTGTATGGATAAACCAAAATAAATAAAAGTCTTAAGCCTTCTGCACATGTACAATGTAGACATTTATTGTATTTTCCTTCAGTTTGCACTGATTTTATGGGATTCGTGAATTTTGGTAAGTAAAACCTTCTGCAGTGACCATTGAAAAATATAATTATAGACCTAATTGTTTAAGCAAGGTCACCCCAATAAATTCAATAAAAAGAAAAAGAAATAAACCAATATATCTTGGTGATTGAATCATTGGCCATTCAGAGCAATTGTATTCTAACTAGAGGCCTGGTGCACAAATTTGTGCCCCAGTGGGGTCCCTAGGCCTGGCCTGTGGGATTGGGAGGAAACCAACTCTCTGACATCCCCCGAGGGGTCCCGGATTGTGAGAGGGTGCAGGCCAAGCCAAGGGACCCCACAGTGGCCTTAGCATATCATTAGCATATTAAGCTTTAATTGGTTGAATGGACAACTGGACGACCGGACACTTAGCATATTAGGCTTTTATTATATATGACTTTAAAATGACCCTATGAACACCTAAGTATCCATTCTAGTCATTCCAGAAATATTTATGGAGTATCTGTGGTGTGCTAGGCTGTACAGCACTGTTTATTATCACAGGCCTATATTTTGCTTTAAAAATAAGGAAACTTCTTTAAATAAGTAGTTTTGTGTACTATCGCTTTTAGAATTTAGAACTTGCCTATATTACACAATTTTTAAGTAAACCAATGTGACAAGGGTAGGAAGCTGACCGAAGCAGAGGACATCCTCTCTCCTGATCTACTGCCCTACTCGGTGAGGCTGTAGAGAGCAGAGCCAGAGGAGTCTTTCTGTATATTCTGGTGCTGCCTTTGCCACTAGGAAAAGTCACTACCTGGGTGACAATAGGCAAGTTAAGTGACTTTCCAAAACTCCATTTTCACATTTGCAAAATGGGATTAATAATTTCTACCACTTGAGATATTTCTGTGACAAATAAATGAGATAATATATGTAAAATCTAGCATGTGATAAAGGTGCAAAAAATAGTGGTGGGGATTATCATTACTTCACTATATATAATGACTGAAATATGAAGCCATAAGCTAATATGTAACAGTGATCTTGAATTCACATTGTTTGATTTTTCTCCTTGTACCCTTAGCTTGGCTGTTGGTCTTAATCCTTTGTTTATAATCGTAAGAAATTTTCACCCTTGAAATGTAGCCCTGGTTGCATTTTGTACTTTCAGGTTTTTCTTTAACAAAATTGAATAAAATTACCTCTAATGCAATTTTCATGGGGTGAAAGGCTTGAATCCCTACAGGTATGAAACTACTGCATTAAGCATGCATAAAATTACACCATGTTCTACTCTATGCATAATTGGAATAAAGTGAACATCCAGTGTTAATTTTTCAAAATAGCAATAACAGAACTGAGAAATCTGAATTCTGTCAGACCATAAATGTGCTACTGCACAGTCTCCTAACTTTCAATTAGAAATTAAAAACTTAAGATTACATTAAGGTATTTTTTAATGTTCTCTACAAATTTTTCAAAATTTGAAACCGAAGCTAATATTAAAGATAGCCTTTGGAGTAGATAACAGGCTGTGATGTATTAAGAAACAAAACATTCTGAATCTCCCTGTGATTTCAAAGCATCATATTTTGGGTTTTCAACAGATTTTATACAATTCGCTATAGAGAAAAGGATAAGGAAAAGAAATGGATTTTTCAACTCTGTCCAGCCACTGAAACAATTGTAGAAAATCTAAAGCCCAACACGGTTTATGAATTCGGAGTGAAAGACAATGTAGAAGGTGGAATATGGAGTAAGATTTTCAATCACAAGACTATTATTGGAAGTAAGTACCTGAACTATCTTAGCTTTCTGTAATATTTTTCTTTTCCCCCTAATGTTCAAATTTCTAATTATGTATTAACTGTATAATATGAGACCAGTTAATTCCCAGCTTCTAGTATTTGAGAAAACACAAAAATAAACAGAACTTGTTGGGTATTGATATTTCAGAATCTATTTTTTATAATGAGTGTGTGTTTTTTAAATGATACTAATATTTGATGCTGCCATTGATAACAGTTCATTGATCGTGATAGTATTTTAAATCAATCCCTGACCTATGAACACCAATTTAGCCAAAAACTAATAATATGTACACATATTCAGATGGAAAGCTACCAGAAGTGAATGTAAGAAGACTTTACGGGGCCCTGGGCTTTCTTCCTGTTATCCTTTCATTCAAAAACTTCATTGGAATCAGTGTTTTAAATCATAGAAATAGAATAATATGCTCGAGTCAGAGAGAGCAGAAGTTATAGTTGTTTTCATAGTGGTTAGTAAGAATTGACATAGAAACCAGAAGAAATGAAAATAATGTCATTTTTCCTTGTTTTTGTCAGGTATAAACAAAGTAAACGGGAAAATTCAAAGTACCTATGACCAAGCAAACACAGTGGTATGTACCAGGTTATTTTCAAGAATGTTTTTTAAAATTGTGTTTGCATTGTATTTTTATTGAAATAGGAAATAGTCCTATTATTGGGTACTGAGAATGAATCAACTGGTTAGCTATGTATGGGGTGTTAGGTAAAAGTACTTAACATTTTAGGCATTCATTTCTTTTTTAGAAAACAAAGTTGGATGTATAAGACAAAATCATACTAAATTATTTAAATATCTAAAAGTCTAATATTCAATATAGTTACTCTAGTACTTCAGTATTTTAGGTATTTTGAGATTATGTTTGTTATCTTCTGTATTGTGGATTGTTTTTTACTATAACATATTCCAAGAGCAAATTGGTACATGCTCTACTTACATTGCTACTGTTCAAATCCTCATCTATCTTCTATCACTTCCTACGCATAAGAGTTAACTCTTTTCAAAATGATAAAGCAATTGCTTTGTTTTGTTTTATTTTGGTTTTTTTATAGTTTTGAAAGTATTTTGTATTTTTTATTTATTTTTAATTTTTTTTCTTTATTGATTAAGGTATTACATATGTGTCCTTATCCCCCCATTGCCTGCTTTGTGTTTTTTTTTAATGTGCCCAGCCTCTATTCAGTGCAGGAAATGTTTGTTATTTTATGTACCACCAATTCCCACCATCTAGACACCTATTTTCTCTCTCACTTCAGAAACTCAGTCCCTTATTCTCCATTTTCCCTTCACCTTTCAAAATATGTTCTCGGGAACCATTCTCACAGTTGTGTATTACCTGTTGTAAATGTAAGCCATTGTTATAACCATCACACAAATGTTTGCATTTCAAATCACATGCCCAGTTACAAAGTGAAGGATGTTATGTCACTGAGCAGGTAGAGGAAGCACTTTGGTGAGAAGAGGGAAATTTGCTCCTAACTTTGGTTATTAGGTATTGAAGTATTCAGCCAGGAACTATCCCATATTCAGGTGAACATGCAAAAGACTATTCATGGCTGAGTGTGTGCATGTGATTATATGAATGGATATCTTTTTGTGTCTAATTAAATAGTCCACAGAATACTCCATTGATTAGATAGTCCCATGCTATCTTTTTCCTCTTTCCCTCCCCCGCTTCTACTTTTCCTTCTACTCTCCCTCATCCCTTCTTCCCTTCCTCCCTTCCTTGTTTTCCTTCTCTCTTTCTTGTTCTCTCTTTCGGTCTTCCTCTTTCTTTTTTTCCTTCCTTCTTTCTTAAGTTTTAATTTTTTTCTTAATTATTTAATTAATACTTAAAGATTTAGAATATATAAAATTCAAAAGGAAATATTAACAAAATTTTCTGTTACACTGCCAAATGACTAGTAATAAAAGTATTTGTGGTCTACTGTTAAAACTTCAGAATATTTTTTTCTTTCTAAGCATATTTTTATTATAAAATTAAAAGAATGTTATATAATTTTATACCTCACTCTTTTTACTTAGCTGCCATATGACATAGCATATTCATATCATTAAATTCTCTTCATATACATAATTTTAATTGCTGTGTATTACATGATCTAAATATGCTTTCACCCCAATCAGTTTACACTTCGTAGGCATTTAAGTTATTTCTAATGGTATTTTAATTGTAAGTGATGTTGCAGTGAACATTTATTATCATAAGTCTTTATTCACATTTCTGATTATTTCCTTTCAATAGATTCTTAGAATGGGAGTTAACAGTTTAAGTATTTAACAGTTTTTAACTTCTTAATATGTCTGGTCAAATTTCTTTCCAGAAAGGATACACCAATTTTACATCTTGCCAGCAATGTATAAGAGTTATACATTGCTATAGTACCCTGATTATTAACATACTGTATCTCCATCACTAAATTTCTAGCTAATGTAATAGTGTAAAATGTTTTCTTTATTTCTATCTCGTGATTGCTGATAAAGCAGTACTTTCTTCACTTGTTAATTATCCATTTGCATTTTTCACTTAATGACCTTTACTTGGCTCTTGTTTATGGGGCATCTCATGGTATTTTTGTTGAATAGTTTAAAGACATAGGTTAAAGAACATTGATCTACTAGAAAAAAAATATTCTCATGTGTTATCAACTTTATGAGAATTTTTGAAATAGTCAAGTCTTGAAATTTGCTTAATCAAATTATTTATCTCTTCCATTGTCACATCTTTAATTGCATTATATTTTAGAAAGCCCTTCCCTAACCAGAGAGCGATAAGTATTTTCTCCCCCTTTTTAGTTTTATAAATGGTTTGATTTCGTAATAATTAAATTCTAAGCTATGTGTTTGACTTCTCTCTGTTTTGCATAGTAAGGTTCTCTATTGATTAGGTTGTATATTTTTCCCAAATAATTGACCAATTGGCCTAGTACCAGGCATCCATAAAGTCCCTTTGGCTGTGTGTCTCTTAGATCCAATCCCAGGGATTCTCTCCTAGAACAATTCTCAGTCTTGTTGTGATGGTTTCCTAGGAAGCATTTCTTATCTCCTGGCCACTTGGCTGTCATGCTTTGTCTTGCATGTGACTCAATGATATCATCTCATCACATCCCAGTAATTTGTATTTCTTTTGGCAGAATATTCCATTTAGGTTGCGTTACTCAGCAAGATTGGGAAAGATGATTGAGGTTTTAACTCCCAAGGAACTTAATTTCTTTTTCACATCACAATAGCCATGGCAAGAAGGGCTAGGAAGAAACTTCCTGCATCTATGACACAGAGCCAGATACCTTATCACTTCAAGCTGTGAGGTGGAGTTACCCCCCAGGCAGCTTAATGAGATGGGGTTTGAAATTCTTGGTTATTTCCACATGAAAACCTAAATTAATAGAAAAGATATTTTAAGGTTTCTCTGTGATGTTTTCTTCTTTGTTACGTTCTGGAGAGCAGAAAAAAATGTTTCGCAAGTTGCCATCTGTGCTCTTGGGTAGCTCAGGAACACAGGAAAGTTGGAGAGAAAGCACTTGGGAGAGCCATAATCATCTTTTATGGCCACTTAGAATTGATTCTAAAAATTGATTTGATACTTTAGAGGAATATTTTAATCCAAATAAAGTCCATGTCATTCCAAATACTAACCCATCTCTTCCCTGAGACTGATCTTAGAAGGCAATATTTCAAGAGATACTGAATTGATTCCAGATGTTTTAGAGTTTTAAGCAAAAGATACACTAAAAATTGTTTTTATTCATATATGCATGCTTACACCTAAAACTTATATCCAGCAAAAACTTCTTAACACTTTCTAAAAAGAGGTATTTGAAATGGGAAAAATAATATGAACTTTAGGCTATCCAGTTTTAAAAGATAAATACTATTTAGGTTAAAAAAATTGACTGTTGATAGATATTTTCAGCTCCAATGCATACATATTACAGTGTTCTATTGCTTCTCCAAAGTAGTGAATGATCCTGGTATTAATGTGTGTGGCATGGGGAAATGATTTAATACAGTTTTATTCACTTACAATAAAAGAGTTAAGTACAAAATATTTTTTTAAATATATTTTATTGATTTTTTTATAGAGAGGAAGGGAGAGAGATAGAGAGTTAGAAACATCAATGAAAGAGAAACATTGATCAGCTGCCTCCTGCACACCCCCCACTGGGGATGTGCCTGCAACCAAGGTACATGCCCTTGACCAGAATCGAACCTGGGACCCTTCAGTCTGCAGGCCGATGCTCTATCCACTGAGCAACACCGGTTAGGGAAAGTACAAAATATTTTAATGTTGAACTCAGCCCCCATCTTAAGCATATGGTTATTATATACTAGAGGCCCGGTGCATGATATTTGTGCATGGGGGCTGAGCATCGGGCCTAAACCGGCAGTCAGACATCCCTCTCACAATCCTGGACCGCTAGCTCCTAATCGCTCACCTGTCTGCCTGCCTAATCACCCCAACTGCCCCCCCCTGCTGGCCTGATCAACCCCAACTGCCCCCCTGTCAGCCTGGTTACCCCCAACTGCACCCCCCCCACTGGCCTGGTCACCCCTACCCCTAACTGCCCCCCTGCCAGCTTGGTCACCTCTCATGGCCCCCCCACTGGCCTGGTTGCCCCACACAGCCTGCTGTTCAGTCATTTAGTTGTCCCTCACTAACCCCCCTGCCAGCCTGGTCGCCCCACGCAGCCTGTTTGTTCAGTCATTTGGTTGTCCCTCACTAACCCCCCTGCCGGCCTGGTCGCCCCATGCAGCCTGCTGTTCAGTCGTTTGGTTGTCCCTCGCTAACCCCCATGCCAGCCTGGTTGGAGGCAGCCATCTTGTGAGGGCATGAGAGTTAATTTGCATATTACTTCTTTATTATATAGGATTGTAATCCATGTCTGTAAGCATGTGTTCTGCTGGCATGCTCAGTACACTTGTGCCAGGGACATAGAGCAGGACTCTCTCCTGTTTGGTCAGTGACTTTGTTCTATCAGTTGTAAAATACTTTCAATGTTACCCCTGCTTATACCTCTAGAAAAATCAGAGAAAAGGTATATGCATAAACAAAAGTATTATTCTTTCAGTATAAATTGTATTACTTGAGATTCATGTAGTTAAACAAAAAAAACATGTTTTTATGATAATCATGCTGTTTTGTCCATGTTGAGAATCTAGAACACTATTTTTATGAAGGTTAAATGTTTACTATTAAATGTTTACTGTTAGGTTTTATTATATTTAAAAATTTTAAACAATGGCGAAAACACCTAACTTTAATATATTATCTCTATCATTTAAAAAAAACTTAGTTATCTAACTAGTTCACTGAACAATCAATTTTTTAGGTAGCATTTATTTTTATTTATTTTTAAAATATATATATTTTATTGATTTTTTATAGAGAGGAAGGGAGAGGGATAGAGAATTAGAAGCAATGGGAGAGAAACATCGATTAGCTGCCTCCTGCACACCCCCTACTGGGGATGTGCACACAACCAAGGTACATGCCCTTGACCGGAATCGAACCTGGGACCCTTTAGTCCGCAGGCCGACGCTCTATCTACTGAGCCAAACTGGTCAGGGCTAGGTAGCATTTATTAACTGAGACTTTAAAATAGAAGCTTAATTAATCCAAATCTCCTGTTGCCCTTATATATGACATCTATTTTCACCCTTAAATTTTTCCCATCAGAGATCCACCCATCTTTTTAAAAAGCCACATCTATTATTGGTAACAAGAGATGTGGTGCCAATCTTTAAAGTGTAAAGTTACAGACAAGTAAAGTGAATAGAGAGAAATACCTTATGGTCCCCACCCACACCTTGAGATTGCGTACAGTAAATGCACCAGGTGTCCTTCCTTTCTTAGAAATTGTTGTCCTAAGCAGAAACTTGAAAAAATTATATTTAGGCCAATGATATCACCAAAGGTTTATGTCTGATTCCTCCCTAGCTTATTAGAAATATGAAGACTTTCATAAGTAGAATGTGAGATTCACTTTTCACCAGATGCTAGATTGAATCAGTAGGTTTTGTAACTTTCATTAGAGTATCCCCAAGTGATTTAAAACCAGAATGTAACATGCCCAAGTTCTTCTGATGTGGTTTGGCTTGTGAGTCATTGAAATTTAACTTTAAGCAACCCTTAGCCACTGCCCAAATGGACAGCTCCTCCTTATCTCAGAACCTGAACATCAAGTTAAATAAATCTACAGTGAATATTCTGACACCACAATAATACCAAATTGACAAACCTCTCAAGAATAACCTGCAAAGAATAGCATCCTGGTACCATCACTAGTTGTACTAAAGCTAATTTTCAAAATAGCACCAGGAGGAAGTTAGTACAATGCAGCGTGGGTTGGAAGTCCCTCGTCCCGCGTGGCGGCTGCTGGTGTAGTTATTTCTGGACAAGCATAGGCTTTCCCTAATCAGGATGAAAAAGCTGAATTGGTCATCAGGGCATTGCCTTTTACCTCTTCAGTATCAATCTCTCTCTTGAATCTCACCAACTGGGTACTCAGCCACAATGTTCCCAGAAAGATGGTAAAAGTGAATTCCCTTAATCAGTCACCCTGCTCAACACATATTACAACCTGGGTCCTCAAGGGACAGAATATCTGGAAACTCAGAAAAACAAAACAAAACACAATAATGGATCCTTATAGAACAGGAAGAAAATATGCTTACTTCCTGGTATATAGCAAATGTTTGAAAAATACTTGCTGAATGGCAGGGTGAGAGCTAAAGAAGGAAGTGGCGATAGAGGTTTGCAGCAGGAATGGGGGTCAGCAAGCTGCAGAGAAAAGAATCAGCAAGGAAATGACCTAAGAAAGAAAACTGGCACCATGATGGTGTCCATAGACTTCACGTTCTGCCGAGGCCACACCAGCTAAACTGTGCAGCAGCCTGTGGGACTCTCACTGCCTCGCTCCCACCCCCACGCCCCCCACCTGCTGCAATGAGTTTTATACAGATTGATAGATGTTCATAACAGCAAGTCTGAAATGGCAGGTTCAAATTACTGGTACCTTTTAAACAAACAAGCAAACAAAAACACTATTCCTGAAACAATTCAATTAAACTTGGGTTGCAATTGGTTAAACTTGGAAATTATCACAATATTTCATTTTCCAATGAGTCCAGGTAACAGACATTTCCCTACACTTTTATAAGAAAACACAGGGAAAGGATTCACAGTATGGATTTCTTCTTGGCAATTTTAGTGCCTTCAACATAGACACACAAGGACTCTCCTGATGCCCTTTAAAAACCTGCTTACAGAAAAGCAGCTACCTGCTCAATAGTCCAATCTTGGAGCATCTTTGGATTACAGATTAGGCGAGAGAGTAATTATAGGTCTAAAAAGAATAAAAACACTTGGATTCTGCAGCTAAATGATTTCCTTGTATTTTGGCAGCACATATTGTACATATAGTATTTCCATCCTCTTAGTAGAACATGGGTCTAACTCAAGTAAGAACTCAAAGAGAAACTCTGTTCCATCCATGTGAAGAGTGAAATATTTTCCATTTGTCCTTGTAAAAAAATTGTTTTAAAAAAATCATCACAGCAAACGAAACGACAATCAGAATAATGCAACTCAAAGGCTCAACCCAGCGACATGCTGCCTTTCTGCTATAATGTGATGTCTCTCTGAAAAACTTCACACTCAGCAAAATGGGCATTACATTCAGTAAGACAAAGCATTCAAAATTCTTTGGCGCTGTAGTCACAGCTCTAACAAAAACCATTGTTCATGCCCGTGAAGATGGTGTGGCTCCTCTGGCAAGTGCTCCATGTGACTGGAGGTCGTTGCAGCAGGCATTTGGAATTCTGAGAAAGGCCATGGACTGTCAACCCTTCACTGGAGCAGGGCAGGTGGAAGTAAGCTGGACACATGAGGCAGTGCCATGGGGCTGACTCCCTCTCTGGGGAAGGCTCCTGTGTACAAGTGCTCTTACTTAATTTTCTTATGAAAAGGGTGAAAGACATCCTACTGCCAGTGCAACATCAAAGCTGAGATTTTTTTTCTCTCTCCTCCTGAAGGTTATGCTTCTATTCCTACTTCCTTCCATCCCTTGCCTGGGAAAAATCATATACAAATTATATTTACAATATTTTCTCTTTGCCAATAGTATATGAGCTATGCAGTGCAGGAGCATATGTAGGAACTGAACAGACTGTTGATTAAAATAACTTTTTATAATTATAAATGTACTTCATTCATGTAAGAAATTTGGAAAATAGAGAAAGGTATATGAAATAAAATTACTATCAGCTTATAAAAATAACTACTATTCGTAAGTCAGAAGTCTTGATGTTGAATCTATTCCTCTTTACTATCTACCACACAACCTCCTTACTTTATTGTCTTATAAGTTTCTTACATAATAAAATTTCTCTTTTAACAGCAAAAAACCCAAAAACTACTGTTAAAAAAATAAGATCTATTTCCTTCTGGCATTTTATCTATACATATTTGTTATAAAATCAGGTTATGTTGTGGTTACAAATTTGTATCCTTTGTCTTTATCGCATGCATATTTTTCTACTTTATTAAATAGATGTCAAAAACTCAAACCATACTTTATTTAATAAAACCTCTGTTTTTGGATAATGAGATTGTTTTACATTGGGGAATAAACACCCTTACACATAAAAGATTATTTGTATCTTTGATTAATTCCTTAGGCTAGGTTGCTGGGCGTCTTAATCCATTAGGGGTACTATAACAAAAATACCATAGACTGGGTGGCTGAAGCAGGAAACATTTGTTTCTCACATTTCGAAGCTTGGGAACCCAAGATCAAGGCACCGGCAGGTTTGGGGTTTGGTGGAGCTCACTTCCTGGTTCACAACCAGCCATCCTCTTGCTGTCCTTACCTGGTGGGTGGAAGGGTGGAGGGAGCTCTCTGGGGTCTTTTTTATAAGGGCACTAATTCCATTTATGAGGGTTCCACCCTTATGATCTAATCACTTCTCAAAAGCCCCACCTTCTAATGCCATCACATTGGGGAGTAAGTTTTAACATATGAGTTAGGAGGGGCACAGCATTCAGTCTAGAGCTCTGAGTCAATAGGTAGATTATTTTTTAAAATAATCTGATGATAGTCAATTTTGTTCATTTATTTATTTTTAAACATAAGGACCTTAATACAAGAAGAAAAATAGCCAACAGTAAGCTTGGTATAATGCCACTTCTTTATTATGGAAAGGTCATTTATTAAAATGGTAACATGTTAGTCTCTTTTGCTCACAATTATGTTGTAAGTATTTCACTCAGCACATCCTAACTTATCAACAGGTCTAGTAGGTAGAATATCTGTATTATGTATGCACTTTAAGCATCAAGAAATTGATGTCTCCCTGGCTGATGTGGCTCAGTTGGTGGGAGCTTCGTCCCATGCACCAAAAGTGGTGGGTTTGATTCCTGGTCAGGGCACATACCATATTGAGGGTTTGATCCCTAGTCAGGGTGCATGTGGGAGGCAACCAATCGATGTTTCACATCGATGTTTCTCTCTCTTACTGAAATAAATTTTTTAAAAAAGAAATTGTTGTCATGCTTACCTCTGTAACTCAACCTAATTCTTCTCTATATCACTTGTTGCCTTTCTTTTATTTTGTTCCCATGTCTCTTCCTTGGCTGCCTTATCCTTGGCTCACAGTGATGACTTCCCTTTAAAGTTCACACTATACCCATCCCTAGTTCAAGTAGGTCTATGATTTTAAAACTCCCAGTGGGACATCTGAGGCAATTTGGGAGAGATAAAAGTGCACAGTCTCCTGAGAACCGCCCTTCTAATTCTGAGGTCCCTTGTGCATAAATATGTTCAGAATGGTTAAGAGTACAGGCTTTGAAAGTAGAAATCTCTAGATTTGATTCCAAGCTCAACCTTCTTGGGCAAGGAAATGTGTGGTGTCAGGAGCTCATGGTGTGTGTGTGTGTGTGTGTGTGTGTGTGTTGTAGTAGTAGTAGTAGTAGTAGTAGTAGTAGTAGCAGTGGCAGCAAGTGGGTGCACTCAAACAATCGATGTTGTTTGGTTTAGAAAGATAATATGTAGTTTAACATCTATATGAGAGAGAATGTAAAGGCAGAGTTTGACAGGTTACACCTAAAATAAAGTGAAAATTAACTAGTATTCAACCCAGAAGATTTAGTTTCTTTCCATTGCAGTTTCTAAGTAAACGAATGGGAGTTCTGAAGAAATTGCTTCTGTCAAATCTTTGGACATTTATGGGAGGAGGTTGTCCAATAAAGTAGAGACAGATATATATGTACCAAAGATCTTTCCAGCAACTGTTAAACCAGTGTCATGGGAGGCTTCATTAAAGACAAGAAAGGGCTACTTCCAGTTCTTCTTTTTTTTTTATTAGCACTAACTCAAAAACTGATTCTTCCTCTTTTTTCAGCCAGCATATGTCCCAAGGAAGCTGATCCCAATAACAATCATCAAGCAAGGTAATTTTATAAGTCTGCTCTGGATATGTATTTATAACTATTTTTAATATACTTTTTAAATTCAGATCATTCAACATAACACATTTTTTCTCAACTTCTCTGATTATTGTTTTTCAGAAAATGTTTGAAGTAATCAGTATGACCTAGTAAATTAGAAGTTAATAGGTAATTTTGGCTCTTGTACCAATAGGCCTAGTCCTGGCAAGTCACATTGTTTGGATAATCAGAGACAAATCAGTCATAAGTATTCAATTCTAAAAAGCCCATTAAATATGTGTGGCTTAGTTTAGTGTTAAGCTAGCAATCATTCATAGGATATGAATTAATGAAATGAAAACTTTAGGGAAAGGTGAGACATCCAGGCTTCAAGAATTATAATGTCTTATTTTATTTCATTATCCAGTTGTTTTTGTTTTGACTCTCAGTTTTTCAAATTATTATTTTTAACATTTTAAAAAAATCTTTATTGTTGAAAGTATTACATAGGTCCTCCTTTTTCCCTCATTAACCTCTTCCAGCCAACTTCTGTCCCTCACCACCCCATTGTCTGTGTCCACAGGTTTGCATATATGCATATAAATTCATTGGTTGATCTCTTCCGATCCACCCTCCCTTGCCTTCCCTCTGAGGTTCAACAGTCTGTTCATGCTTCTATGTCTCTGGGTCTATTTTTTTGTTCATCAGTTAATTTGGTTCATTAGATTCTACATATGAGTGAGATCATGTGATAATCTTTCTCTGACTGGCTTATTTCACTTAGCATAATTCTCTCCAGGCCCACTTTATTATGTCCAGAAAGTTTCTTGGTAGGAGAGATTGGGGACTTAAAATTGTTCTTCAATTTAAGAAAATAATGTCACAAGTATACTCTCAAAGTAGGGTCAATTAGTACTGGAATTATCCAATGATTCTTTGCTTTGAGAATATATATTTTTTAATTTATTAGGTCATTGCCTCATTTTGTGCTAGTTCTTTAGGAAATTTTCAGTTCTTTAGAATAGAGCACTCTATGATAAAGTAATAATAGCCTTTCAGTACTTATAGGGATTGGTGTTAAGGTAAGATGTGCTGTGTAGTCAACCCAATGAGTTCCTTTTTATTAATTGAAAAGTTAGATCAGTGCTTCTTCAGTGCAGATGACTTCACATTATTAGCTTCTTACTGCTTTCTGACTATTTCCCCCCAACACACACTATTATTTTTTTGTATTTCAACAGTGATTCAGAATGTTACTCACAGAGCTTCAACTAAATCCCCAGATAGGACTCCCATTGGAGGAACAATACTGGGTGAGTCAGTCTTGAACTCTATATCAAGATTAAGAAAGTCAGGCTATTTTTTTTTAATAGAGTTTTTATGGAATTTTGCACTGTGAGTAGATCTGTTAAATTGATGTTGATTCATTTCCTTTCAATATTTAGGATCCTGGCTGTGTTTATTCCAGGCTAGGAGCCAAGAGATGCTACCTCTATCCCAATGTGTTAGAGAAACAACTCTAGCTCATGCCTAGTGGGAACGATGGAACCCATCCTACCTACCCCACAGGGTTGTTGCAGTTATGAAGGAGTCTTTGTCATATTGAACTTCTCTTTTAAAAATGTATTATTAATAGTGGTGTCCTTTGTTCACCACACATCTTAAGCATCCATTTTACAATTTTTAAGTTTATGGATTAAAAGCCAGAGTATTTTGGTAGTTCAGTTCCTAATATGAAAAAGATTCTGTGTAAAAGGTACTGTCATATTTTTTCCAACATTTTAAAGTTGGGGTTAAAAATTACTAAGCAAAATAAGTGCTAAACTCAATATTTACTAATATCTGCCACTCTGAGCTTTATTTTATGTCATGATGCATTTTCTTTCTTTCATCTTTACTTCTGTTTCCTTGCAGTCCACCTTGTTATTCCTGGTCTTAATGAAACCACCGTAAAACTTCCTACATCCATAATGTTTGAGATTTCAGAAGCAATCAAGACACAATTAGGTAAGCATCAAAGTTCTATGATTGAACTTTCAGTGACCAAGTACTAGAACTGATATTCTTAGAATGTCCAAGGAACCTAGAAAATAGGCTATTTGGGATCTCAAAGTAAAAGCAAGGGTCAGGCATATGTGCTGTTGATAGGAATGTAAAGTGGTATCGCTGCTATGGGAACAATATGACCACTCCTCAAAAAAATAAAATTACCATAGGATCCAGCAATTCCATTTCTGGGTATATAACCAAAAGAATTGAAAATTTCGCAAAGAAGTATTTTGTATACTCATGTTTGCAGTAGCATTATTCATAGTAGCTAAAACATGGAAGCAATTTAATGTGTCCAACAGATGAATGAATAAGCAAAATATGGTTTATAATACAATGGAATATTTCATTAAAAGGAAAGGAAATTCTGACGAATGCTACAATATTGATAAACCTTGAGCAAAATAAGCCAGTTACAAAAAGATCAATACACTATGAAGGATGGTTGCTAGGGACTGGAGGGAGGAGAGGAATGAGGAGTTAGTGTTTAATGGTACAGAGTTTGTTTTATAAGATGATAAGAGTTCTGGAGGTAGGTGGTGGTGATGGTTGTACAACATTATGAAAATACTAGAGGCCTGGTACATGAAATTTATGCACTTAGGGGGATCCCTCAGCCTGGCCTGTACCCTCTCACAGTCCAGGACCCCTTGGGGGATGTCCGCCTGCTGGCTTAGGCCCAATCCCCCTGGGGCCCCTCGCTCCTTACCGCCCACTTGCAGCGGAGGCGGGAGAGGCTCCCGCCACTGCCACTGCGCTCGCCAGCCATGAGCCTGGCTTTTGACTCAGTGGCGCTCCACCTGTGGGAGCGCACTGACCACCAGAGGGGAGCCCCTGTGATGAGCGTCTGCCCCCTGGTAGTCAGTGTGTGTCATAGTGACCGGTCATTCCTGCCAGGAGTTCTGCCTTTTGGTCAACTTGCATACTAGGGTTTTATTATATAAGATTTAATACTACTGAGCTTTACATTTAAAAATGGTTAAGATAATAAACTTTATGTTATATATATTTTACCATTATTAAGAAGTTGGGGGGAAAGTAAGAGGCAGAGAAGTTGGAGTGTTGAAGGTATTAAATCACATTCTATAGGGAAGTAGTTATTTTATATTTATACAAAATATCAAATAAATATACATTTATAAAAGAAGAGTGAACATTTGTCAAATTATCCAAAATACACACATTTATATAATTTTCAAATAAAGTAATTGTTATAAATTATACTTAGTACACTATCAAGGGACCACTAGATACTTTCTATAAGAACTGATATAAAGGTCAGGACTGTTAGCATTATTATTTACTTGAGATTGGTACTGCTTCTTACTTCTAGAAAGAACCTGCTATGATTTCAGTGTTTAAAAAAAACATACAAATATATATATATAAAACATAACAATTTGGAAAACAACAGCAAAACTTTTTAAAGGGAGCTCAGGGAACAATTGTGGTGGTCACTGGGCTTAGTTGCTGCATTTGAGTATCAAATTAGTTTGATACTCAGACTTAATCAAGCATCACACACCCTGGAGAGCTTGTGAACACAGACTGCAGGGCCCCCCCCCCCCCCCCCCCCCCCCCCCCCCCCCTCCAAGAGGTTCTGATTCAGTAGGTCTGAGCTGGGGCCTGGGAATTTGCATTCCTTACCAGTAGGTGATACTGAGGCTGCTGGTCTGGAAACCATACTTTGACTGGAGAATGTCTTGGGCTATTGATAAATATGAAAGGAGACGGCGTAATGTGATAGAAATTGAAACAAGACTTAAAAATGCAGAACATTTTCCCTAAAGTAGGCACTAGCTGAGAACTTCAGCACTTACATAATCGACTCTTCACATTGTATGGATGCAAAAACAGAGGCCCAAGCCCCTGTTTGGTAGCACTCAATCAACAAATACTTATTAGCATTACTCTGTGCCAGATAGTGCGTTACTGGGGCCTATCATGGTGAGCTACACAGCCCATACCGAGACCTCAGACTTATGTTTCCCTTGTTGGAGACCTAACCTATTTGTTTTCTGATGGTAGGCAATCAGACTGTATCTGTTTTAAAAATTAGGAACTCCTAAATTCTCCTTAGCTGTTAATTTTGAGAACTTCCTGGAAGAAGGAGGAACAAAGCTTAAGTGGGTAAAGAACACTTAATAGGTGGTCCATTAGCCTTACAGTTTTAGAAAAATCTTCAAAGCTTATGCATCACCATTTCCTTGAGATGTTAAAATATTTGCCAGTAAATCTTTGTGATTTTGCTCAATCCTTACATGTTTACTGTAAAATATTCATAGCTGTTAGTACTAGAATGAGTTACCTTCAAGGACATAGACTCGTGACCCTAGGCTTCATATCTCACTTTTAACTGTAAAACCCTGTGACTCAACTCCACACCGTCTGTACGCTGTGCTCAAAACCAGGACGCTTCCAAATTAAATGCCATCAGGGAACCTGTGTTTGGAATCAGAGCTCAGGACTTTTGCACTTACCTGTTCTGTAGAGCCTGCATATTGCCCTGCTCCTCACCTGGAAACTTGTTTTGAAAGAGAAAAAAAGGAGCCAGCCAATCTCTTATTGATTTGGTCCCAAATCTGTCTCTCAAAACTACAAAACCCAGGATGTGAAGGAGACTGAAAATGAGCAGTTTTTTTCCCCAGACCATTGCTGTCAGTTTTGAATTAGAAGATGTTTTATTCCCTACTCCAGTGATGGCGAACCTTTTGAGCTCGGCGTGTCAGCATTTTGAAAAACCCTAACTTAACTCTGGTGTCATGTCACATATAGAAATTTTTTGGTATTTGCAACGATAGTAAAACAAAGATTTATATTTTTGATATTTATTTTATATATTTAAATGCCATTTAACAAAGAAATATCAACCAAAAAAATGAGTTCGCGTGTCACCTCTGACATGCATGTCATAGGTTCACCATCACTGCCGGGCCTAGTCCTTAGTCTTGAGTGATATTTCCTTTTGGTTTTTGCAAAGTTCTACATGCTACCTTAATATCAATTCAGGTGTTTTGTTTACGTTAGAGCTTCAGGGATTTTGTTTTGTTTTTATTTTATTTTTCTGATATAATTCACTAGACCTTCAGGATTGTAATTTTAATAGAGAAGAAATGGTATGCGAATAGTTAAATATCTCTTTTAACTTGTATTTCCGGGAAAACACCTGTCAAATTTAACACTGGCAATTTTTTATGCATTGAAGAGATTGATAGTATGTTTGAAAATGTACAGTAAATCCATCAAATGTAACATCTTAACAGACTGTATTTAAAAAATTACATTTTAAATATACTGTAATTTTTTAATGCAGACATAAGCAATTCTTTATACAACTGAGGAAGAAATAAACTTTCCTGGGGTTATTTATCACCACAATTCAGAAAAGTCCAATTTTTTGATGGGGTAAATCCTAAAAATAATATCCTCATTCCAGCAGCATCCATCATGGGACATCGAGAAATTACTAGCTTTTGTTCTAAGAACACATGGTGTGAATAATGAGAGATATAAACAAGAAAATTAGTATTACACCCACATCGCCAAGGGATATACGTAGGGTTTGCCAAAGTCAAGACTTGGCTTGCCAAAAATTAACGGAAACAACAGTGTTGGAAAAAAGGTACAGAAGAATCAGAGAGGGAAAAGAAATTTCCTGGGTTTTAGGTCATTCTGATGGGATTTTGCTCTACTAGTGCCAAGACTGCACTTGTACATAGATGATGTACAATGTTTGGGTTTGATAGGAAACATAAAATCCCCCCATTTAAATATTTCTCCATCTACCAATTTCTCTGATTCTGAAAGGCAATATTTAGAAATACAATATGCCTTTGTAAGGAATTGGTGATGTGTAAAGAATACAATTCTCTCTTGGGAACATAGTTTACCCTTTTTTCTTCTTTTCAGCCTAATTTTAGGCGAAGGTGATTGCCAGCTAAGGGCATGTTTAGAATATAAGAAGCGAAAGCAACACAATTTAGAGCATTCATGAAAGTCTAAATGTTAAAATAAGTTAGTAAGTAAATAGTCCTAGGCACCCTGGCAACCACCAAGAACACAGGATGTTACACAGGGAGGAGAGGATTAGCAAACATATCCTAAAGGATCAGAGGACACTGAAAAAGAAAAGACCCTTAAAGAGAAACCTTATAATCTTATATTTGAAAAATGAAAGCAAACACCTTCCTATGGCACATCCTGAAAATAACAGAACCAGAACTTGCTCATAAAAATTTGTAACCTGAGTGGTTTTTCCTGTGCTAACAATCACAGTGGTTCTAAACAAAAACTGGAATTACAACAAAGGGCAGGAAAAACAGTTGATCAAACTTAGACGTTTCAAAAATAGGATTTTTTTGTAAAATTATACTGGACTGGCATTTTTAGTTATTCTAGAAATAGAGTCCTCTCTCTCTCTGTGCCCTGCTAAATCAATTTGAACAATGATATCAAACATTTCTGCTGTGCAAACATGCTGTACAACTTCATATGCTCATGAATCCAAAGCACACACATGGCCATTAGATATGATATGGCAAGTACATAGCATGCGTGACACCTATTTCTAGCATTTTAAGTTACTCCTGAAAATAACTAGCTCTATGTAGGAATCTATTGAATGTTTCCATAATGCAGATTAAAAATTGATTGGCTTCTATTATCATTGTGAAAGGGATGACTTTATAACTGCCTTTGTCCATCACAAGTAAATAAATATGTCATGCCCATGTCAACTGTAAAGAAGAAAATGGTCTTTACAGCAGAAATGTGAACTACAAAAGGAAGTTATAAAATTTGCATCCTCAAAGAACCTTGAGAGAACAGGTTAGATGAATTGTTCTCAACAGAGAGCAGTTTTGTACCCCCGCGGAAATTAGGCAATGTCTGGAGACATTTTTGGCTGCCACCACTATGTACATGCTAGTAGAATCCAGTGGTAAAAGCCAGGGGTGCTACTCAACATCCTGCAACATAGGAAAGCCTCACACCAAAAAATTATCCTGCCCAAAACGTCAATAGTGCCAAAGTTGAGGAACCCAAGAAGTTCCTGTACAGCCTTTGGACTCTACAAAATCCCATCTAATTATGATCAGTTCAAAGTGACATCATCAGGGCATCTCAATGATTAATTTTTTCATGCCACTAGACTGCTTCAAAATATTATAAGTAGGTTATTGATTTTGTGTGTGAAATAGCTGACTCAAGTTAATCCTTGGTGCATTTTTAAAATGGGGAATATCTTAATCATTGGGAAACTCTGGTATAGAAATGTACTTTCTTTGAAAAAAATACCTACATTTTAGAAGGAAGTTTCCTGAACAGTTGTCTGAAGAGGGAAAAAATCTATTTTAATCTTTACACTGAATCCCCTCAGTGACCAAAACAATAGGTGTTTGTTAACACATGGCTCAAATAAATTACTGTTGGTATTTTTTTTTTTTTGCCACAAGTATTTTCAAATAAGTTAGTTTCCCAAGTGTGTTACTTGTGCTTTTTAAAAATTTCAGTGTCTGAACCTATTGCATGTTTTACCATGCATAATAATGGAAATTTTCTATTCATTGATTTTTTTAAAAAATAGGAGTACTTCAATATAAAATTCCAGTGAGTATTTGCAATGCAACATATGCCTTCCAGAAACTCTATGAATAAGAATGACTTGAGAGTTATCCAAGTGTTGGGTTGTGATTTATTCCTTCATTCCAATGCCAACTTAGATCTTAATTACTAAGGGTAACAAAAATGGATTCTGAACACTGTCATCTATTCATGCTAATCCCTGGTAGAAATGCACAATACATTTGTTGACTGCCTGGTGGGAAGAGATAAAAGCAGAATAGATTTTTGGAAATAGTCTGTTACTTGATTATGTTTTGAATGAATTGTATTCGGACACTGTGTTATAGGGAAGTGAGGTAAACTGTTTGTTCTCTGACTTTTTTTTTTTTTTAGCTAAGAATGAAACTTTGGCATTACCAGCTGAATCTAAAACACCAAAGGTAGAAAAAATCCCAGCACAGCCCATAACAGGTAATGAGATCCCCGTATTGGTCACTTACAATAAGTAATATTTTTCTAATAGTAAATGATTGACAAGGCTGTACTTTTTTTCCAGTGAAGAGCCAGTAGGAAATTCATTTCAATCATTAGCACAAAACGATAGGTGATGTGATTCTAGGTCCTTAATCTAATGTCTGGAAAAACAACAACTGCAAAATGAACTACTGCATCATATAACTAATATGTAATATGGAAACTATATTTTTCACTCTAAGTGAAAGTTATTACCTCAACATTGTGAAATAATCCTATACTAAAACGTAATGCCTGGTTTTGGTGTTTTCCTTTTATGTGAAGACATGAGACCATTTTTCATTTCTCCACTTTCACAAGTGGTCATTTGAGCAAAATGCCATCATTAACTTTGACAAATCCATAGCTTGCGAGCTATGTCATTTAGCAGCAATGTCTTTGGAAAATTAAAAATCCCAATGTAGATAATATGTAATAGTTCGGTAAAAATTCTTTAAAGAATAAATGTGGAGTGCATTTTCCCCCACAGTTTATCGGTCGTTACTAACAAACATTCAGCATTTCTTCTATGAATGAACTGCCCACTGGGGACACATTATTCTCTGAACTACAGAGTTTTGCCAGAGCAATACCACCTCATCTAGGACTCAGTGAAGCAAACATCTGGCAAGAATTTCCCCAAATCCACATTTAGCGAAGTAACTCCAATCTAAAGTAAAAATTTTAATCCATAAAATTGCTACAAGTTGAAGTATTAGTGGTATTTACCTTGTACTAAACTCTTAGACTTATAACTGGTCCAGAGAAGTTAAACATTGGTGGGAAAATAAAATAATGTGATTTTAAGAAACCAATTCAGATAGGGATATTTCTGACAAAGCAAGAAGTATGTGGTTCTGCCTAAAGGAGAGAGATGGACCTTCCATCCCTCACCTCATGGCAGGTGGGGCAGACGTAAAAGCTATTCAGGAAGCTGAAATCATCTATTTGAATGAAATTCCTAGGTACTTTTCTGATTTCAATATAATTGTTCAATACCAATAAAAACATAGGCATGACCCAGTGGATGACTCCAACTTCTTTTCTGCCCCAAAGATTCTGCCCAATTATACTTTCTTCTCTTGGCACATTATCTCATGGAAGAGTCTATAGATTTCTTAGTTCTCTTCCAAATCTTCCTCACAATTTCCCACTTTAGAAACACTTAAACAGCATAACTTACTATTCAGTGTTATTGTGTTACTGCAAGTCCTTAACCCTGCAAAACTTCTAGAATTGTCTAGCTCCCAGTTCACTCCAGATCTCAGTGATCCTGGTTCTTATTTCTTGAAAACTATTTAGCTGAGGTGGTCTTTGCTTTTGACCTAGCAATTAGAGCACCTTGCGGCTGAGCATATGTATCCTTATCATAATTTCAACCCAGTTCCAACCTTCGCATGTTGACTGCAGTTTGAAAGAGAGAAATCAGAGAATGTAATAGTTCTCAATAAACCTTTTTGCCCTGGATCATTGTTTTATTTGCCCATTTATAAATTCATTTAATAAACATTTATTATGCATTTGCTTACTATACCCCAGACATTGTGCTAAGCCCTGAAGGTAAAGAGAAATAAAAAGGCAGACGAATAAAAAGTTATGATTAATCTGATAAGTGCTTTCACGGAGGTCAGTTCAGAGTGCTTTTTGTAACACATGGGAAGTGGACCAAACCTGGAAAGGAAAAGCTGGGAGCAATGTCAGGTCAGGCTGTGGTGCAAGCAAGCCATGGAGTCCTTAACATAAGTAACTTGAAAAGTAATGAGCTATGTGTCAGTTATTAATTCTAAAGGGCACCAATGTCTTAGGGTCTTCGGTTGTTTCATAATTTTATCTTAATTTGTAAAGTTGTCTTTTTTACTTTCCAGTGACTCCTGACTCAGTTCCAGGAACCACTAAATCCACTGTGTCTAGTGCATTAGATATTTCAGAAACAACACTGGGTAATTCTAAGAAGTTTTTTTCTAAAACAAACAAAACCCTCCCAGCACTCATTGAAAAGAAAAGTAACCCAATACCTTACCTTTCCCCTCATCTCTCACCTCCTTTCTGGCAGTAGTTAATCTTCCTATTTCTTGGACCAATTTCATTAAAGAGTTAATCTCATGCCTTGATCCTGGTGAATGATGTTCGAGGCAGCGCTGGACGCCAGCTGCTAGCTGCACCCCCTTTTCACCAGTCTCGTAGGATGTACAGAGAAACAGATTGCAGCCTTTTATCCCAGGAGGCTTGGAGAGGTGGGGGAAACCTGGAAGTCTTGACTATGTCTGTGCTTTCCGTTTTCAGTGGCTTTTCCAAGTCTTGTGTGTACTAAAAAAGAGGAGAATCCCCAAAAGTGTCACGCTTTCTAATAAGAATTTCATGTCACACCTGTTAGCTGCTTCTTGGCTCAAGAGGCTCATTCTTGCTTGGTTCTCTTCTGAAGAAAAGGAGCGGCATGCATTTTGTCCTGTACTTGTGATGCTGACCATCCGTGCCACACCACAGCCCTTTGGAAGTGCACCTTCAAATTTGAACAGCCATGTCCACCTTTTCCAGGGAAAGCCAGCTGTGTCCTTGAAAGGCATCAGCTGCCAGTGCACACTCTGTGTGAGCACGCGTCACGTGATCATGGTTAAGCCACAGCATCAAATCCCAGTTCATACATTTGCTAACCGAATTCTTCTTTATTTTAGTTCTCAGCGAAAAGACCCCGGAAAGATCGCAAACTATTCTAATACCTAGGTTTGAGTTACCACTGAGCACTCTAGGTAAAAATTTTTAAATACTACAGCTTATTATTACCTTGCAAATTTTATGCATGCTTGAAAGCCATCCTTAGGCTAATTTATTTAAATTTATCTCCTCACAGGAAAGAAGAAACACTTAGCTTATAAAACAATAAGCTCCCCAACACCACGTTTTTAGATGTTATAAAATATTATAATTTAGGGTCCTAAAGAGTCTCTATAACAAATCCTTCAGCTGTTTAGAATTCTTCTAATTTCTTTATTGAACGCAGTATAAAAAAAAGTTATTGGTGGAAGTGAGCTTAATTATAAAGCCATGTGGTCACCAAAATTCTATTTTTAAATGCTAGTAGTAGATGGACATTTTCTAGTTCAGATGTGTTTGGTACTTGATGTGAGTCTAAATGAGCACACATACACATAGCTGAATAAATTAGAAAACCAGTTTAATCAAAATTAAAGCTCAAATTCCTCAAATATAGTATCTGGTTATAAAAAAAATAGAAAAGGGAGCTTTGTTATATCATCCAATGTTGAAACACAGGATTAAAATATACTAACAGTTCCTTACTTAACGTGAATAATTTGCCTGTCTGTGTTTGTTTATTGCTTAGTAAAATCTTTTCTGTTACTTGCACCTCAAGTCATAACATTTCTTATGTGTTTCTTTACAGCTCCGAAAAGACTTCCAGAATTTCCTCAGGCAAAAACACCCTTCCCTTTTGAGAAACCTGGGGGCGCCTTGGGTAATAACAGCACCTGAAATCTGGTGTTAAGATGTGGGTGATGATTGCTTAATTCTGGAGGCTACATTCACTGGGTCCTATCTCTGCAAACCTCAGTGAACTGATAAATTCCATTAACTTAACCAGACAAGTGGTTGATTTGGTAATGCAACACAAACAAACAAAAAACATATTTGTCTGATTGTGTTTTTTAAAAATTTAGTATCAATCATCACTCTCTTAATTCCACATAGGTCATTAAGTTAGTTTTCTGTCCTCAGAAACATTGAGAGTATGACACCAGCCTTTGGTCTCTCTCTAGTCACTAACCAATCACATGCTCTCAGGATGGGAACATAGTAATTTCTTCTTGATAGATGATGGCTTTTGATAGAATGAGTATGTGCTTTTCATTGCAGGATTCTCATAGTCAACCATACCAGCAGCCTATTTCTGTTTCTTTGTCCTCCTCAAAAAAACTTCAGCAAATTCCCTTTCTTTTTACTACTGTAGCTTCGAGTGAAAAGCCATGGATTGCACCTATAACTAAAACATCTGAGGATTCCAAAGTTTTACCACCTCAAACTGGTAATTGCATTCTATTTTTTTTAAAAAAATAGACTGAAACAACAGTATTGAGTTTCTCATTTTTATCTTTATAGGTTCCTTAATTGATTATCAGTATACTTTATAGTAAATGGTAAAGCTATAATTCATTCTTATACTTAAATAAATCTCTCTTTTTTTCCTCAGTACAAAAGCAGAATGTTTTTGCATTTGTTTTAAAGATCTGTATTTTAACATCTGGACATCTATTTTGATCTTTGGCTAGAAGATGAACTATGCATTAGCTCATTGAATTTCTAGAGATCTCTTTAGTGCCATGAGGCAGTAACAAAAATAAGAAGCATCATCCTGGGTCTGATTTAACAGTGTTGAATTTAATGTTTCCCTTGCAGGTAGATATTTGCTTCTTTTCCAGCAATGAACTTTTTTAGTGACAGTTATTGCTATTTATTGAGCACCTTTTATGTGCCAAACGTGGTACTAGGTGCCTGGGAGTGAGCTGTATGACTTGGGGCCCAGGGGCCAGTGATAGGACATCGCATGCAGAGTCCAACTTTAAAAAGGCTTTCCAGCTCCTGCGTATCCTCAGGTCGGCTTTGATTTGCTCAGCAAGGAGCAACTGAGCTTGCAGGTGGAAATCAGCAAGTCTAGTCGGAGTAGGGCAGGTGACTCTCATTCCCCTCATACCATACCTTATATTTGCCAACAATGAACATTAGAGAGCCTACTATGTACAAGATATTATGACTGAGCCCTAAAGTTTATAAGCATACTGTGATATAGAGGGAAGACCACAGGTCTTGGAATTAATAATGGACTTTTTTCCAATTCTGGCTTTCCTGCTAACTGAATACTTTAGATGTTTTACTCTACATTTCTGGATCTTAGTTTGCTCTTTTATATATTGCGGCAATTGGCTTTTTTTCCTCTAGAATTCTTGTGTTCTACCACTAAAACTGATTAAGGGAGATAGCCCTCCTTTTTTGAAAATAGATTTTTCTCAATTAAAGAGTTTCTTCCTATGTATCTTTTTTTATATCTAGAAGTCAACTAAAGAGGATGGATATTTAGCATATGATAATTATAAAACCTCAGAAACCACTTAGTGTTATTACCTCCATGGTTTTTATTTTACTTGTTTGTATTTTAATTTTTGTATATCTTCTAGTTGTGGTTTTTGGAGCATGTATAGTATATTATGTAGTTAGAAGTTGGGTAATAAAGTTATATAACTAACATTTTGTGGAATTTTCCAGTAAAGAGTCCAACAGAGGACTAGTTTGAGAAAGGATGAGAATGAGCCTTCAAGTAGATCTTGGTCAAATTATATTTTCTCTGATATCTGCAGTGGTCTCAGATCTTAGCAAAAGATTTAAGGATGTATCAAATAAAGTAAGCATGTCTATTATTATAATACTAGAGGCCTGGTGCACAAAAATTTGTGCACTCGGGGGAGGCGGGGGGGAAGGTCCTTCAGCCCAGCCTGTGCCCTCTCACAGTCTGGGACCCCTCGGGGGATGACCATCTGCTGGCTGAGGCCTGCTCCCCAGGGGATTGGGCCTAAGCTGGCAATCAGACATCCCTCTGGCAGCCCAGCAGCCATCGGGGGATGTCCTCTTGCCAGCGGGGAGCACACCTAAGCTGCAATCAGACATCCTTAGCACTGCTGAGGAGGCAGGGGAGGCTCCCACCACCACCGCTGTACTGGCAGCCATCAGCCTGGCTTGTGGCTGAGCAGAGCTCCTCCATGTGGGAGCTCACTGACCACCAGAGGGCAACTCCCGCATTGAGCATCTATCCCCTGGTGGTCAGTGTGTGTCATAGTGAGCAGTCATTCCCTCTCTTTCTGCTGTTAGGGTCAGTTTGCATATTACCCTTTTACTATATAGGATAGAGGCCTGGTGCACGGGTGGGGGCTGGCTGGTTTGCCCTGAAGGGGGTCCCAGATCAGAGTGGGGATCCCGCTTGGGTGCCTGACCAGCCTGGGCGAGGGGCTGATGGCTGTTTTCAGGCTGCCCACACCCCCTTCAGGGTGGGGGTCCCCACTGGGGAGCCTGGCCAGCCTGGATGAGGGGCTGAGGGCTGTTTTCAGGCGGGCCAAGCCTGCAACTGAAGCTCCCAATCTCTCCTTTTTTTCTTTTTTTTTAATTCTGGGATTTATTTACCTTCTGCAATTGAAACTTTGTTGTGGCTCCAGCTCCGAGGCCAGCTGGCTGAAAGCAGGTATCTGGGGTTTGTTTAGCTTCTATAATTGCAACATTGTTGCTTAGACTGGAGCTCAGAGCCCAGCTGCAGCAGGCGGGGAACCTTGGCTTCCTCCATCACTGGAGCAAGCAAGCCTCATGTTTGCTTCAGCTGCCTGGCTGCTGGCCGCCATCTTGGTTGGCAATTAACTTGCATATCCTGCTCATTAGCAATGGGAAGCGTAGTGGAGGTATGGTTAATTACCATGTTTGTCTATTATTAGATAGGATCCACTGATTTCCTCATGTGGGAAAACACTTGAAAGTTGGCTAACATTGTCAGCCAATCCAGAGAAGCCTCAAATTGGGTCTTTCTAAGCCATAGTTACTCTAGTCACTGATGCAGAAACTTTACTGCAATTACTTACTGTGGTGTAAAAGTATGTTTAGCATTCCAGGTCACCTGAGTCCAGGTCCTGAGTAGAGTTTCATACTGTGTTCCATTGGCTATCACACTGTGACTATGGAACAACAATTAGTCTAAGGGCGTCTGTGATGGTTTATCTGCAACACTAAGGCAGGGCCGGCCTCACTCCCACAGACTTCATGAGCATCACATCTCCCAAACCAAACACTTTGGGGGCTCACTGGACTAGATGAACTCTTAGGTCCCTTTCATCTCTTAGCTTCTGTGCTATAGCATAGGAGACACAGGGTCCCCCAAGGTCTCCCTTGAGCAGCCTCTAGTTTTTTGGTGTCTTTGATTATTCAAAAGCAAACTGATCAAAACCTCAGGGGAACCATATGGAGTTTTAATGCAAAGGGCATGGATTATATATAAAGACTGAATTGAACCAAGTATTGGGAGTGGAGAAAATATGTTGGGAAGTGAAGGTCATAGAATTCCAAGGAGACAAATATACAGTAGGTGTGATTATAAATCCCATTAAAAGCAGAATTCTTTTTGCCTTTAATTTCAGAAAAGGAATGTTCTGGTTTTGCCCTTTTGGAATATAACTAGTGGCTAATGCAGTTTTATTATTCAGCTGCCTCACTACTGCCAGGGCAATTTTAGGCCGCCAGAGAACCTCCAACTGTTGACCACTAACCTTCTCTTGCTGAAGTGTTGGGGCTTGTTATGGGCTGTAACAGTACAGTTGGTAATTATTGCAGGCATGACCAGGAGCACCAGGAACTTCTAGCCTGCCCTTATAACATTTAATTTGTACATCCCTGCTACTCAGTGCGGTCCTTGGACCAGCAGCATTGGCATCACTGGAAGTTAGCTGAAAGGCAGAATCTGGGGCTCTGCTCCAGATCTAGTGAGTCAAGATCTGCTCTTAAGAAGATCTCTAGGTGGTCTTGCACATTAAAGTTTGAGAAGCACTATCTATCACTGAAGTCTGTAACATTTCACATGGTATAGATAAGAGTCATCAAAACGTGGTTAACTGTAGACAAGAGGACTCAAATCAACAGAAGATTGGTTTCTCAGAGTGGGTGATTCTTATCTCTTGTTTTTGCTAATGCACACAATGCTTACATCTAACTCTTATATAGGAGTTCCGTGGCATCTTCCTAACATGTTAAATTTTAAATTAAAATTTATCATATGCATTATTTGTGATTTAAAAAGTTGATATGGTCATGCCACTCTTTTATTGGTTTTAGCCTTTCTTGTTTATTGTGATTGATTTTGTGTGAATTTATACAGGTACTGAGGGTATCTATTACCTATTTAGTTTCAATGAATAGGATTTTTTATTTTATATTCCAATTACTCACATGAGTTTCCAATGTAATTGTTTGGTGAATTAAGAAGAGAAAGAGGTAGAGATAGTATTTGAATGCTGGTCCATAAAACCATTAATCCAATTTTTAGTTGTTATATCCTTTGAAGAAATGATATATTTTAACTGGTATTAATGACATTATTATAGCAAAATTAGCATAATTTGTTTTCTCTGTTGGGATACAATGCATCTATATTTACTATATCAATTCCCTTCACCCAAAGACCACCAGGAACATACCTATATTTGAACAAAGTTAGGTTTACTGACTCATTGCAACAATGGAAAATACAGACCATGAGAAACTGGGAACATTTAGTAAGATGGTGTTGGAAAGGACTTATTGTAGGATGTGGTCTTGTGTTAGGTGATTCTGGAGAGGCTCCAAGGAAGTGAAGCTGTGTGGATAGGATGCTGTCAGAAAGTGGAATAATTCTGTGATTGAATATCTCAATAATTACTTTTTTCTATTTTACACATAACTTTAACTATACATAGCATAATTTATTTTTCATTTATTTTTATTGTTGAACACTATTACAAATATCCCCTATTTCCCCCCACCTCTTTGCCCACCTCCTCCCAGCCCCTGCCCCTGTCTTCACCACACTATTGTTCGTGACCATGGGCTATGCATATATGTTTCTAATAATTCTTAATGAGATGACAAGAAGAATAGAGTGAAGCTAAAGTTGTGGTTGGTAAACAAGCAGCAGTTAGTCATATTAGCCAGACTGTAGGGACAGTCATTTTTGTGTTCATTCATTTGTCTGTGTCCCATACAATTAGAGAGTGCTCTTGTTTTTTTGTCTCCATCCATCTTAGTCACTAAATGGTCTTGTTTGATATTGGTATTCTTTAAAATTGTTGATGTTCAGCAGAAGAATACCAAGCCTAGCCGTGAGTGCCAGACCAGCACTGGATGCAAGCATCTGCTTTTCTCTTTATCAACCATTAAACATGATTTATCAATACCATTTGTAAAATTCATTTTGCTTCCACATTTACTAGATTTGTTTTCCACATTTACTTCATATTCTGTATT